AAGATTCTAACGCAGAAGGTTTCTATGATAAATTGACTGATTTAGATAAGATTTTGACAGGTACTGATGAAAAGTTGTATGGATATTTATTGGAAATTAAACTAGAAGAAGAACAAATTAAAGAAACAATGATTGCTTGGGGGAAGAATTTTGGATATGAGATTGATCTAGAGAAATGGCAAAAATTGTGGTCTCAAAATTATAAAATGACATTGTCAACAGCATATAAAGAAAATTTGTATAAGATGTTTTATAGGTGGCATTTTCTCCCAACAAGAATAGCAAGAACGTTCAAGAACAAATCTGAAAAATGTTGGAAATGTCATCAGGTACCTGGCTCATATTACCATATGTGGTGGACTTGTGCGGACGCCAAAAAATATTGGACTAAAATCCACACGTTTGGAAAAAATAACAAAAAAGCATATAGACTTGAAACCAGAGATATTTTTATTGGGAATTTTACCTGAAATATACAGTAAAGAATTGAAATATCTGATTGTAAATGTATTAACAGCGGATAGGATTGTATTTGCCAAAAACTGGAAAAATGAGAAAATACCATTAGAGGAGGAAATTATTAAGAAAATATTGGAATGCGCTGAAACAAGTAGACTGACATTTGAAATCAGAGAACAAGATGATAAACAATTTAATAAAATTTGGGATCTATTCTATCAATGGTTAGGCAATAAAACATGGCAATGAAATATGTAGATTTTTAGAACATAATGAATATATAAAGATGTATTTTTTATTATATCTACAAAATGATTGTAGGATAGATTTGAGATGATAATATGAACTGTCATAAAACAAACTAAATAAAATATGGATTATCTCGTAAAATATGAATAATAGTATAGTCAAATGATTAACAATGATATTAATGTATTTAGGAATATTTGATTGACAATATGAGAATATATACAATGTAATTGTAATAGAAGACTACGAAGTGGAAGCACAAAAGAATTTGTAAACCAACGGACACACTGTATGTATATATATGGAAGATGGCTTTTTTTAATGTTTTGTTTGTCTATGTTTGTCTTAAAAAACAATAAAACTTAAAAAAAAAAGATTCATAATGGAATTTTGAAATAGCATTTAGTTAGCAACAAACCCAACAGAATAGTTTTAATTATTTTCAGCAAAAGTAAAACCTATCTTTCTTCTTTCTTGAAATAGTCCTGGCTTTTGATGCTTCTGACCACTTTGGTACTGACCTGTTTGCCTATCTTCATGTTTTTTCTTCTCATCTTTGTTTTAAACTGTTCAGGACTGCTCTCTCTTTCAATTCAGTCATTTGTTTGGCTCCTACTACAATATCATACAATATCAGTGGCAGGCACTGAATAAAGCAAGGAGGAAGCCGTGAGAGGCGTTTATCTTTTTCTCTAAGGAAGCCAAATGAATTTCATTAATTAAACTGTGTTTTAATACTTGCATACACCTTGAATTATACAAAAAAAAAGGTCTTGTTCCATTTAAGGTAGGTTATCACTACAGTCTATTTAACTCCAATTGCATATGAACAGAATCAATCCCTGGGACACAAGCTGAATGTGAATTAAAATGCTGTGTTAAAATCTAATTAGTATCAGATTGAACTTGCCATTTTACTATTTAGAAGGATGGCCTCCTTAATGATTTAAGTTGTATTTGTCTAAGTTACATAATTCAATAACAACTCTTGATATTCTGAAAAGCCAAAAATGTAATAAAAGAACAGAATCAGGAACAAACAGAACTGCATGCTAAATACTGACTACTTAAAACACATAGATATTACAAAACAATAATTCAGCAAAAATGCAGGTGCAATATATTTTTAATAAAAGTAATATTTTATAGTGATACAAGCTCTCAAAAATACCATAAATAGCAGAATTTCCATGGAAGATTTTTATTTTTAATAAAAATAGCATATTTTTATAGCAGTAAAACTCCCCAAAATGCCATAAAATAAATAGAATTTCTATGGGATATTTTTTAAAAAAATCTTATTTTTTCTAGTCTTGATTATCTTTGCTACTTAGGGGCAAAAACTAAACAAAACGAACTTTAAAAAAAAACTAGAACAAGGCATGGCTTATTTTAAAAATATGCCACAAAAGTTATCTTTTGAATCTTACATTACATTACAGCAAAGGGATTTAAAAGAAATTACCTCAGCTATCTTTTTCATCTATACAATATGCTTAATTACCCATGGTTAGATGCTTACAGGCCTGTTTCATATTACACCAGCAACTGTTATCCCAGGGTAATGCTAATATAAATTTCTATGTGCTTTAATCTGCAAAACAGAAAACAGAGAAGTAGTACATAATATACCAACACTCAGCACTACAATCAGGAGATCTAAAATAATTCTGGTTGAATGTAGCAATCATGGCATTGAACAACAGTGGTTTTACAATTTATGTGCACAATTTAAGGCATCATTTGATATGTAGGATCTAAGTTCCATGGTTAAACCAAGAACCCAGTCCATACATACAATATTCCAGAGTTCACTATTCTTTTCTTTATCAAGCAGTTAAAAATAAGACAAACATTAAATGTTAAGCTGAATCACGGACACGGCAGCTACATGGTCAAATCCAACAGTCAATGGGAAGGTCCAAAATAGAATGGGAATCTCTGGCACACTAAACCACCAATTCCCTATGTCAAAGGGTTGGAGTTTTATGTTGCGAATTCAGAAGGCCAGTTGCAAGACAATGCATATGGTGCAATTAATGGCATTGCAATAAAACTATTACGGTACATAATGTTTTTCAGAAAGTTATTGTCTTCAGCAGGCATGGCTTTGATATGAAAAAAGGAAACTGATACTGATTATATCCAATTTAGATCAGGTCAATTTCACCTGCTGTTTTTTCCCCACTGAAGACAGAACTGTTTCTAAACATCAATAGGCTATTATGTGTAAATTTCATGTTAGTAACAACATTGTTAAGAATAGTTTCGATGATCAGGATAAAAAAAACCAAAAACATGTAGTCCAGCACTCTGTACGTCATAATGGCCAATTTGAGGCACAACTTAGTAAAAAAAAGGAACTTCCTAAAACTTCCAGAAATTAGGTCTGTGTGTATTCCCACCTGTTACCAGGGGTGGGATTCTATCAGCTCGGACCAGTTCTATAGAACGGTTTGTTATAATTCTGCGCAGTTTGGAGAACCAGCAATTGCACCTGTGGCTGGCCCTTCCCCTCTCTGCCCTCCCCACCCAGTCAGTCTTTATTGTGCACGCGTGACATCACGCGCATGCCCGACATCGCTGACTAAATTTTACAGTGCCCAGTCACTCAAGGTATTTTTCCCCCTTCCCGATGATCAGCTGTTCCGGGATCCCCCTCACTGTCTTACTACTTCACTCAGGAGGCAAAAGGGGCAGGGGAGGTACGCCACCCCGCGTTCCATTTTTTGCCTTCCTTGGCCCCAAGGAAAGTTTTTGGGAGCAAAAACGACCCCCAGGAGGCTTCCCCGAGGCCCAGAAGACCCCCCAAAAACCGTGTGTGTGTGTGTGTGCTGCAGCAAAAAAACAACGAAGCCACGCCCACCCAGTCACATGGCCATGCCCACTGAACCGGTTGTTAAAAAATTTGAATCCTACCCCTGCCTATTAGCTATATAAAAATATATGTCACTTATTATCATAAACTGAATTGCTAAAGACCACACTTCTTTAGGGAATTTAGGGAGTGAAACCACAATCAGTGATTTGAAACAATTGAAATATGTTCCCAAAGGTTCATTAGGGCAATTGTTTTGATTCACGAGGGTTTCTTTTAAAATCCTTTTTCATATACAACTCAAATCAGTGAATATACCACTCCTCTTCCTATTTTCCCCAGTGAGCTGGTTGAGACTAGCCCAAAGTCACCCAACCTGTTTTTCAAGAATCCTGGAGATCAATCTCACAAGAGCCATAAATCCATTCTTACTACTTTCCCATGGAGAGGTCCAGACATGATGTAGAGTAGACTCTTAGCTGGGGTGGTTAGAAATTGTGTTTGGGTGAAGGTGGTGTCTTGTTCCATGGTGTGTTCAGTAATTAGCTATCAGAAGACAATTTTCTGTTTAAATGCATAATATATATTTTATCCCATGTTTTCTATAAAAGAACTATTATTTATTAGACAAGTTTATGTAGCCTCTTAACTCACTTAATGACTCTGGACTGCTTACAACTAACTATAAAATAGTAGGGCACATGATATAGGAATAAGTATAATTAAAAGAGCTGCCATAAAAGCTACAGGAGGGTAAGTCCCACTTTTTTTCAATAAATCACTAGCTGAATTTTCACAAAGGTTGTCAAAAATTTAAAAAGCCTTCCTGGCTTATGGCAGCATATGAATCCAAGTATCCAAGATTGCCATATTTTTATTATCAATTACAATAAAAATAGAAACAGTTGAAGAAATCATGGCTTTTATTTGACCACTAGTTGGAAAGCAAGTTCCAGGAATGAGTTTGGCCTTTAAAACTTATTTTCAAAACAGTAGTAAGAATACAGCAGAAACCAATTGCTCAATCATGCTCTTTTAAGCATTTTCAGCTCAGCATTTCCTAATGCCTCTTAAAGGTTCATTTACAGTATTTTGGGGGAGAGAATGTGCTACAGGTCTGATAAATAAGCAAGATAAGATACTGTTTGAGCTCTGAGCTCTCTTCTCTCCCTATTGTTGCAATCCTATGATTGAAGAATCCATCCACTCCAGTATGTATCCACAGGCACATGGGGCACTTTAGCTGCAAATTCTAATCCTGTATCCATCCAGTACGGACCAATCAAGTATATGATTACACTCATTTAATTTCTTATCTTGCTCTTAGAAATATTTTAATTCTGTGTTTAAAACCTCGGATTAACAAATGCATCAAACTCTGGCCTTGATTAATGGAATACGCGAGGTTTAAATTGTCCTTGTTTGAGATACAAAAAATAATAATAAAACCCCCTATCACTTACCGCAGGGAAAAAACAAACAAGAAGAGAGCCACCTGGCAAATCCCCTTTCAACTATCCACCGGGAAGACTAAGAGGTTCCAGAAAAAGCCATTGTGCCCCATCAGATACAATCCTCCGTCCGCTCACTTCGGAGTAAACTCCATTTCATCAGAGGAACTGATTTCTGCAGTCAACGCAACCAGGAATGCCTTACAAAACTGTAATCCTTTGTAGGTTACTCCTTTCGGGCAAACACAGGACAGACCGGCCAACCATGCCTCCAAGCCAATCATTACTCGGCTAAAAAAGAAAGGAAACCACCAACCCAGGTCCGTCTTTCTGCCGGGCAGGTAAAAACCTCTCTTGCAAAAGACGGAAACCTTTCCCCCTTTCGCTCAGCACGCCTCTTCTTGTTGATTGGACAAAATAGTTGTCTTTCAAAGGAAAGAGAAAGGCGGGCTCTCCAAACCTCAAACCAGAGGCTTAATTCTCCCCAGGCGCGTTTTCTCACCAGCCTCCCTCCGTCCCCGCACGTTCCCGAGGCTCCTCCCTCTTTTCCCTCGGCGTGAGTCATCACCGTTCTTAGCTCCGCCTACTTCTCCGATTGACTACCTTTAAAAAAAAAACACTCCTCATGGTCGGCTCGCTCGTGGGCGCGGCTCCACCCCTTTCCAGGAGGCTCCGCCCCTCCACTTAAGGCCTGCGGCCCGGATAACTACGGCTCGTGTGGTTCGTGAGGCGGGGCGGGAGGAGCCAGCGAGGAAGCTCTGTTGCATCAAATCGCCGCAGACAGTCCCGGAAAAGAGTTCCGTAAGCCGGCTCCTTGCTGAATCGGGACCTCCTGGACAAGGAGTCGCGGGGCTCATTCTCCCCCCACTCTGGAAAGACGGAAGAGAGGCAGCCAGAAGGACGACAATCCAGTCTCTCACAGTCCCCGGGACTCGGTCCCGAAAGCCTTCCGTCGCCCTCGCTGCCTCCTCGCGCCGGCCAGGGGCAGCGCAGACTCCTCCCCTTCCCTCTTTTTCCCACCCTCCCCCGTAACCGCAGCAGCGGCAGCGCCACCTTCCCTTCTTCCTTTTCCCGGTTCCTGCTGCCCTCGAGCCTGAGAGGCACCTGCACCTCCCCGCCACGGCGAGAGAAGGGCAAGGCCGGAGTCGGCCGCAGTGGCTCCTCCAAGGTAAGAGTCGCTTGTCGAGCGCGCCGGGGCCAAAAGGTGGTGGTGGTGGGGAGGGGGGGGAGGCGGCGGCCGCGGCGGGGATGGAGAGAGGAAGGGAGAAGGCGGCGGCGGGGATGGGTGGCTCTCCTTGAACGGTGTACAATGGAGAAGGTGGCAAGTGTGGGGGGGTTGGGGGGGGTCTGGGCGGAAGAGGCGAAGGATCGGGGCCCGCCTCTTAGTTGTGAGGCTTGTTGCTCCCTTTTTTTTGTGGGAAAAGGGAGTCGTAACCCTGCGGCGGATTGGAGGTGTTTATGTTCCTTGTGCGTGGGCTTCCCTGGAAAAAGCTTGGGGTCCGCGCCGCGTAGGGCGAAGCGGAGCTTCTGACGGGAACAGACGTGAGGTTGGCTTGCTCTGAATTCCTCTGTGGAAGATGGGAGCCTGAATTCCGCTGTGGAAGATGGGAGCGTGTTGTGTATGCGTGGTTTTTCTTTCGGGTCCCCCCCCCTCCCCAGCGCGTGTACAGTGGAAAGGATTATGTGTGCATAATACATGAGGGTGGAAGGCTCTCACAACGCGCACGCAACTGCCGTTCCTTGCGAAGGAGTGTTAATGCGATGTGAGGATTGGGGAGAGGTGAGACGAAGACTTCGCAGTTTGGCTGTTCCTCCAGCCTGAAAAACAGAAGACAATTAGCAGCCGGATCCTTTTCCAACGAGGCACCTTCCTCCGCAGACGAGTTTTATTATCATGGTAAGAAACCAGTTTCTGTGTGTGTGTGTCTTTTTGTTTGGTTGGATCGGATCTTCCTTTCCCAGTTACCCCGGATAGAAAGCAGAGGTGATTACTTTGGATCACTGATGCTTGTTGAAAAACCAGAAAAGCTTTCTGTAAAGATCTGTTATTGTTAGACGTTCTTCAGAGTTTCAAAAAACTGATGGCAACATGGCAAAACACTGTAAAGGTCTCTTTCTGGAGGCTTACTCCTATCTCTCTCCTTCAAAAATGGCTTTATTAAGCTGCAGTTATGACTTGTTCAACTGGGAAAAAAAGTATTTACAATGAGTACTGAATTATCTTAATAGTGAACTCTTATTTACTTTCAAATGATTTGTGAAGATGTTTAAAGGTTGCATGCATTATACTGGTCTTGCACAAGTTTTGTATTATATCACGGTATCAAATTATAAGCCAAAGTGAAATAATGGGTAGAAACTCAATTAGCTTTCCAAGTTGGTAATTACTTTTACTTGTGAATTGTTAGAGGGTTTTGTGTGTATCATATTTTTAGCCTATTCAAATTCATTTTGAACTAATTCAGTCTCTTCAAAGAATCCATTAAAAGTATGGCACTCTGAAAAGTTATCCTTTCTTTTGTAAAACTATTAGGAATTGTGTTAGGACCATAAAGTTTGGATTAATGTATAATAGAAAGTCACAGAATAGTATTAATAGCTCTTTATTAGACTTTTCCTATTCCTGTATACCTATATATAATGTGATACCATTTCTTTCAAGATATATAATACAAGCTAAAACTCTTTTCATGTTTTTAATAGATGGTTCATAATGTGTTCATAAAATACTGTTCTCATGTTTAGATTATGAAAACTCATAGTTTACAAATATACTGTACATTAGATCAGGGATCTCTGATTAACTTTTGTTAAAATATGATGTCTGAACTTCAACTTCCAGAATTCCCCACTCCACCATGTTTTAACAAGGCTAATCAGAAATTTAATCAAGCTTGAAAATTAGCTAGTGACTGGGGAATTCTGGGAATTGAAATCTGGGTATCTTAAAGTCACCCAGGTTGAGAAATAGTGGTTGTAGCATAAGCAAAAACTTTTCTGCACAGGAGGATAAACTCTTGTGTTTATGAGCTGGCTAGATCAGTAATGATTTTTGTAAAGGCGGCTAATGCAGAGTAAAGCAAATCTTCCTGCTGTATTCAGAGAGAAACTTGATACTAGATGGAAAATTGCCTAATATTGGATTTGAAGAACCTATTTCCATGCTTGACTGAATTTCTGTTTAGGCCTGTTATTCTTTTTTAATCTATTTTTAAAAAGTAATGTGCAATTTTATCCTGAAACAAGTAAATCTGTTTTGAGAAGTGGCAACTTATTTCAGCCCCACTTCTGAAATATATAATCATCATTGTCAAAGCTTCTGGTATTTCTTGATACATGTTGCTGTTTTATGAGTATAGACTAGTAAATTATAAGAAGCAAAAATGAAAAAATATACATATTTACAATATGGCAGGATTTACATAGAATTAAACATGACCAGGTTTCACCTGATCCCTTGAATAAGTAATATGAATAAGTGATTAATACATTACTCAAGATTTGTAAACCACAATAACTCAGTTCTTAAAATTGGTTGTACCAAATTATTTAAACTTAATGCATATGGTATTTCAAATCCACTGAAAAAGGCTCATGGATGGACTGGGCGTACTTGTTGATTCTCCACAGTTTGATAGTTCAGGTAACTGGTGATGAAGAATTCCTTTTTTCTGCTGTATTCATATTTCTTGGTTAGGGCTAAACAGACTCATTCATTACCTTATGAATAGTTTGCTGTAAAACATCACATGGGTGATGCCTTGGAAAATAATTCAGAAACTGCAATGATTCAGGAATCCTGTGGTAAGATTTCTGGCTTGCATTCTCTGTTGGAAGCATGTAGTAGTTACCTTGGTTCCGATGCACTAGCTTCCCATTGCCTGAGTCAGATTCAGAGTCTCTCTTAATATATAAAATCTTTTAATATATAAAACCTTTTACAGATTTTTCTTGTTTACTGTACCTAAAGAACTATAGGCAAACAATGTCTTTAACTGGGAACTCTGTTTATCGTCTGTGGGCTTATAGTAAGAGCAGCTGAAAAATGGATGGCTTGCTAGAAATGGTCAGGTCCAGGGCCTTGTCAGTGATGGTATCAATACTGTGACTGGTGAGTGGAGGCTTCATCCCTATTGGATGATGTTTTTAAAAAATTAAAAACTGTATAAATAAACATTCCCTCCCTTATTAATTCCCAGAGTATTTATGACATCTGATATTGGTTTGGGTTTTATATATGTTTTATATTGTTTTATTTGATGCTTTTGGAATTCGTGTTAAAAGTGTCTGATTCTATAGTATATTGTAATAGATTGAGTTTTCAGAAATTTGATAATAAGTAAATGAATAAATGTGTGAAGTTAGGCTGAAAAATAGTGATTGACCTCTTTATTGTAAGCAAAACAGTAGTAATATAATGCTTTCCATTTAACTAAGGCACAACATTTCTGTTTGCCAGTCTGATCACTGTTTTTCTGTTTATCAGTCCTAATTCAAGAAGTTCATCATAATGTAGATGGGGAAGAAGAATGGGGAATATTAAAGCTCAGGTATGCCAACTCCAAATCCCATCATTTTTGGTGGGAATTGTTAACATTATCTAGGAGGTATGTTGATTCCCCATCTCTGATTTAAAAAATGCTAAATGCTCAAATATTTCCTCCCCTAGAAAACCTGTTTATTAGAGGCATTCAGTTGTAACAGAATCAGAAACACAAAAATAACCACAGAATGTAGTTCAGACCATTTTCTTAGTCAAAGTGGGCTAGTATGTGGGCTAGTATTCTCACAATCCTACTATTGTAGTTGGGATTCATGGGAGTTGAAATCCAAAATATTTGGAAGATGCTAAATTGTATGTCTTTTGAATTAAGATTATAATAATCTTAAAATGAATCTATAAACCATGATTAATTTAGCTTTTGTATTGCTTCATTGTAATATAGTTTATTTTTTAGATTCAGAGTCTTTGAAAATAAACTGTTATATGGTGATATGTGATCTTTTAAAAAATACATACAAATATATTTGAGAAAATTGAGAAAACAGAGTTTTTCTGGACTTTTATAATAAAGCCTAAGTTGGTTAAAATTATAAGAGCTTCATTCTTATTTCATTGGCACTAGTTCCATAAAATGTAGGTACTTTTACTTGTGTATTAACCTATGAGCTTAATATAAAATGGCTATTCTGCAAACATAAGTACATTGATGTACAGTGGTGTTTAAAACTTTGTGAAGCCTTTTGAATTTTCAGTATTTCTGCATAAATGTGGAAATTATGTTTTCTACGTCCTAAAATAACCCAGTTAAGTGAGTACAAAACATACATGTCCATTTATTAAGGAAAATGAATCAAAGCTGTGTACAGGTAGTCCTTGATGTATGACTATTAGTTCAGTGACTATCTGAAGTTATGACAGCAGTGGATAAAAGGACTTAGAATGAGTATTCCAAGTTGTGGCCGTTACAGCACTCCATGAACAAAATTTGGGCACCTGGGCAACGAGTTTGCACTGCAGTGCCCCACAATCATGTGATCACTATTTGTGACCTTCCTGCCAGCTTCTTGCAAGCAATGTCGGTGGGTAAGCCAGCAATGAAGCTTGCAAGTTGCTTTCTCCCTTGCAGCAGTCGCACAATGTCAGCATTCCCAGAAAGGAAACATGTCAAGCCCTAAACCAGATAGACCCAACAATGTCAGTCCTAAACTAGTGAGAAAACCTGACTAGATGAGCTAATTCTACTTTATTGTGAGGCTGCATTAGCAGAATCTTACAACTCTGAAGGTACAAACCTTGAATTTATAACCACCTGATCAATTAGGTCCTGACTTTTTCTCTAAATGTTAATCCATTGGGGACACCTTTCTCTCATCTGATTGTTTCCAGGGAGCATTTCTTTCCTTCCCCCCTCCCCACAAATCATCTACACATTCCATTCCCTATACTGCTTGCACCCTCTTTTCCTGGCCTCCTGTGATCACACACACCCCATGCCCTCTTTCTCAAATCCCCTTGGTTGGATAAGGCTAAAATAAAGCTTTTTAATAAACTTAATACATTTAAACACCACTGTATAAGGAATGAATGAATAACATTTTGAGTTGAACTTGCTTTATAATATAGTGTGGATTTACCTTGTTTGGAAATATTTAATAGGATATTTAAAACTAGAAAATTGGATTAATTCTATATTTAGAACACACTAATATAATCTATTCAATTATTTTATTCATTTTACAAGCATAAAATTTTAAGGGTAAAATACATAGTTGTATCCTAGAAGATTTTCAAAAAGTTTTTTAACTTTGTTTTTTTGCTTCAAACCCAGCATATTTTGAAAAATCTTACTCCTGTGACATTTTCATTTCTTTTGCTAATTCATTCGTTGGGTTATAAAAGAGCTTTAAATCATGGTTTGATGTATGCATAATAATTAAAATATGCAATCCTATCCTATAATATGTGGTCAACTCCTATAACTTTGGAGTAAACTTTTGAGCAAACAAATATAGGATTGTACTGTAAATGTTATATGTTATTTTATAATGTTCAGATTGTTAGAATGAACATTCGAAAGCATTAGCAACTGATGTAACAAAGACAGCAGTGACAAAGTTTAAACAGTCAGATTTAATGTTCTACTCCACCTCCAGCTGAAAAAATGTTGAAGGTCTTTACGCTTTGTATAATTGTATTGAATATAATTTGTTCATCCTAAACTGGGGAAAGCACCACAGGCCATAGGGTCAAAACTTCAGAAAAGTTGACATAATTCCCTCTCCCCACTCTATATTTCCAAACAATGAAGTGTTTTAGAAAACACGGAGAAGTGTTCAGTGTGAGGATTAATTTGAGGACGGAGTATATTTCTGTTTGTTTACTGTGAAATGGATAATCCATGACTGCTTGACCACATATTATATTAACTATAAGCGAGTGGCACTCCAATTGGAGTCATTTTGATTGTATACATGTGATTTACTTAGAATCTCAAATTTGCATCCAGTTGCACAAAAGAAGAAAAATATTCTTGATTTTAGTTTCCAGAAATTGTATACAATGTAATATAGCATTAGGCATTTCATCTTTGGGCTTCCTCAGTATATGTAATATTATGGTTATCCTATCTCCTATTTGCATATCTCTTTGTACTTACATTGAATTGTATTTGTGTTTGCCCTTTGGTTCCCTATCATGAGCTGAAAGAGCTGTTTGAGTTCTTTGTAGTTATTTTGGTTTCACCACTGTAAACAGTGTAATCTGCAACAACCCATTCTTAACCACACTTCCTTTATATTAAAACGTACTGGTTCCAATATAGCTCTTTGTATAACTGTTTTTTTTTAAAGAACCGCTTTTCATTGTTGTATTTTTCTGTTTTTGCTCAAATTATTGTGTCATAATTTACCAAGTCAATTCAGATTTTATTGTAAGTAGTCCTAGGACATCACAAGGTAAAATGGAATTATAATATTTTATAAAACATTAGTTGCGTGAAATACCTATGCAATTTGTAGCATAATTATTTATGCTAAACAATTATTTGTATTCACTTTTATTATATAACAAACCAAGAAACAATAGTGCTAATTATATAACAAATACAGGTAGTCCTCAGGCTACAGTGGCAATTGGGACCAAAATTGCTGTCACTAAGTAATCCAGTAATAATGTGAGATGTGACTGCATCACTTAGTAACACTAATACTGGCAATTGTTGCTGTCACAACCCCAAGACATTCAGGTTGTTAAGTGGGAAGTAACAGGAGTCCCAGAAAAGGTGGTTTGGGGGGGGATGGGGGACCACGTTGAGACAGCAGTTCATAATATATGTCTCTAGATCAGGGGTGTTGAACTCATCGTCATGGCGACATCACGTGACATATCGGGACTTTTCCCCCCTTCACTAAACCGGGCGTGGGCATGGCCAGCACGTGGCACATCCGGCCCACGGCCGCAAGTTTGACAACCCTGCTATAGACAGTACCTTTAAAGCTTAGATTACCAGAAAAAAATAGAAAACATTTTAAACCACCCTGTCTTCCAAGAATCCTGTTTTTCCATGAAGTGATTCCTGTGTTCATTGTATAAGAAAGCCACTTGAATTGATAAGTTTTAAGACATGTTCCTTTTGAAAGAATGAAATATGCTGGATCACACTGTTCTAGTGAACGCTGAAAGCCTAAAAAGGTATACAGTAGATCTTTCTTTGCAAGAATTATACTGATTCTTCATCAGGTAAGTATGTGACTTGATGATAGCTGTCTTTTAAGAATATTCAAATATTACTCTGATATGAACACCAAGTTTTAGTGATAAGAAAGGTGACTAGGAAAGTGGCTAAAACCAGGATGGTTTAAATGTATTATTGTGGAGTAATACAGGAGTAGAAATCCATAAAGGTCAGAAGTACATCTCAAGTATGTTCACAAGAATATTTTCAGTCAAAATATATTGCCGGTGTACTTTCCACCATCAGCCCACATGCGTACACATATATTTGATGGGGTAAATTGTAAAATACTAATTGCACCAAGAAGTAAGTATCTATATTACAGTATTTTGTATATTAAAATACTGAATTGTGTTTATTGCTAATGTTAAGTGATTTTTTTTATTTTCAGATGCCATGCACAAATAAAACAGTCTATAGTTTGTGATGAGAAAATATGAAAAAGGTGGAACATTTTCTTGGGTGAGTGTGATTTATAAATTTTATTTACAGAAGGGTGAAAAAATGACTCTTAGACATTAAGTTCAGAAACGATAATTAAAGTGAACACTTTCAGGAAATAGCCTAACTAATCAAGAACAGCAGGAGTATTAATTAACAAATTGTTAATAGTAACATAAAGCACGGAGAAGAAGCCAGATTTGTTTAGCATTTTTGATTCCTGAAGTTCCTTTTTCCTCTGCTGAAATACTTTGACCTACACTCATATTTTTGATGGGTCGCTGTTTTTGATATTGATGGGCCTGTCATCAAATTGTGCTGCTTAGTTGTTTAGTCCATGAATTTAGCTCTAATGAGAGTAGGGACTTTGTAACACATACAGGTAGTCTTCAGGTTATGACGGCAATTGGAACCGAATTACTATCGCCAATTGATGGAGTTGTAAAGCACAATGTCATATGATTGCATTGTTTAATGATGGCAGTCCAAATTGCTGTCGTAACCCAGGATCATGCAGACTGTTAAACAAGGACCTCATGTGATTACGATATGGGAAGAGGCAGGAGTCCCAGGCAAGCAGACTGGCAGGTGAGAGCTACATGGGTACTCTGGATGGGTGCCTCAGAGTACAGGTAGTTGGGTGCTACAGAACATGGGTGGGCAGGCATTATGGAGTGCAGGTGGGTAATAAAGAGCCTGTAGAAGATGACTAGCCTGGACCTGAGAGGGGTCAACCTGTTCTAAGTCAAGTGTCCCTGCGTACCTACAAGAGACCTAAGTCCAGCCAACCTTCATTCAATGCCTTTCTTATCTCCTGCTGATTTCCCTTAACCCTAGTTGGTCAGATTCTTAGTCTTAATCTTGCAAGAAATCTTTATACTCATTTGAACTGTCTGAATCTCCTGATTTCCCCAATGCTTGACAGAGACGAGACAACTTGCAATCTCCTACTAGCTTGCCCACTGACTTTGTTTGTGGGAAGCTGACAGGGAAGGGAAGGTTGCACATGGCAATTACTTGACTATGGGTCCTGCAACTGTTGTGAGAGCTGGTTGCCAAGCACCCAAATTGCATCCATGAGACTGGGGCTGTTGTGAAGCTAAATTTCAAGGGCTGATCATAAGTCCCCCTCATTCAGTGACATCATAACTTTGAATGGTCTCTGAATGAGGGATTGTAACTTGAGGACTACATGTTTATTAATGGAAATACCCAAAGATCTGCTCCAAAAGAAAATGAAGACAAAGGGGTAAAATGGATTGTAAAAAATTTTGGGGTAAGATTTAATTTTAGCATTAAAATTTGATCTGAACTTCACCTTAAATACCTGGACAATTTCTGTAAGTTTTAAAGAACTTTCAAAGAATTCAATTTATAGAGGAGACAAGAGGTATTGTTGGGTGGTTAAGCAATATTACCTTTACTTTGGTAAAGAACTGGAGCCTTGAAAGTTGAGACACAGTAAATCCTGTTTTGCTTGCTTGAGATGGAAGAATAGAATTGCTGAAGACAATCTGAAGGCTGGTCAGATATTTAAAAGTACAGGAAGTCCTTGCTTAAGTGTACATTCAAAATTACAGTGGCCCTAAAGGAAGGGATTTACAATCAGTCCTCAATATTCTGGCCATTTGCAATTCACTCATAGTCACATGAACAAAATTTTGGCCTATCGTGGTCAGCCAATTTACGATCTCCTTTTAGCCCCACCTGGCCACAGCATCAGTGAAATCCCGCAGTACCAAAACAAAAGACAGTGCAAAGAAACCCCTGGCTGGTGCAGTAATGGCATGCAGCATGGTAGGTGCGGTGGTGGTGACCATAGGAATAGGGCAGATGGCAGTATTGACTAGATGGGCAGCCCAAAAGGCAGGGATGGGGAGACTGGATAGGCAAGCAGGGGAACTTCCAGAGGAGGTTAGTTCCTTAATTGAGATTTGGAACTGTGAATGATCAAGTTGGGAATGGATTGGATGTGAGGGGGGATTTATTTATCGTATATAGCATATTCGCATCATACGGGTAAAATTGAGGGGAATCCTTAGTTAATGACTGATGGGGTTCATTTAACAACAGAGCCTCTGGATTGTTGTCACTAAGCAAATGTGGCCACATGATATCACACTTTATGACTGCATTGCTTAGTGACAGAAATTCCACTGGTAAATCAAGTATTACCTACAACTGTTTTATATTTTATCTTTTCCCAAGCATTCCATTTAGTCAAAACAACTGTTGTATTGGTTTTAGATTAGTGTCATTATTGTATATGGATTACACTAGATTGAAATTACGTTTAGGATTGAGCAAATATTATAGTGTATAGTTGTTTTGATTTGTATTCCTGGATTTCTGCAACTTCTTAATTGCAGTTTGGTGTGCATTATTCTGAATAATTATTTGAGGTATCTTTATTGCTGTTTTTTATTGCAGGTATTGTAATGTAGTAGCCTGTGTATAGCTTTTATTAAATGTTTATTGGTTTAACAATTTTAATTTTCTGCTGTATGCAACACAATTATTTAATAAATGGTTATTTTTGTTGCAGAAGCACTTTATACAGTAAATGGTGCTGATAGAAGATCTATTGAGATTTTGCTGTAATAGCTACCAGTGAAAAACATTTTGCGAATGGGATGAATACGCAAAGAGTGACTGCCTGCAGCAGCTTCATAACTCACAGTAACTTAAGTGGAACACTTAACTAAGGATGTTTTCATTTCTACTTTACCCCATTTGACTTGGCTTATCTTGATTGGGGGAAGACATTCAAAGTGGAGTACCATAAACTTGATATGGATAAAAAAAAAGACAAAGACAAACTGGATGATAGAATGGCAAGGCCTAGTGGACGCTCAAGTCACAATCCACGAGGTAGCTCATCAAATTCTGGTGTGTTAATGGTTGGACCTAACTTCAGAGTTGGAAAGAAAATTGGTTGTGGCAATTTTGGGGAGCTACGATTAGGTAAGCCTTTCTTTATCTAAATATTCCAATAAAAACTCTTAAAGACATTGTGTGTCTAAAGAATAATTTCATTCATTAGCACATTCAAAATCAGATCTACTTATATTTCTTTGTGACATCTCTGCCAGTATTATGTTTGAACAGGAAGTAATATATAACAACAGGTTAGATCTTTGGACTTATTCACACAGAACACGCACATGGGATTTTAAACTACAATCTGTTGAAGCATTATAGTCAGTTGGGCCACATTTCATAATAAAACATATTGGGTATAATGTTAAAAAGGTAATAGAATAATTTGTAGCTGTTCTCACTGGAAAACAGAAGTAATCAGGCAATCTACATTAGAATACTGTTTGTTTAATCTTAAATTATAATTCCCAAACAACTTTCGCTGAAAGTGCTATTTAAATGACCTGTTTGAAGAAATATATACTAGATCAGGGGTCACCAACCCTTTGGACCTCAGGGACCACCAAACTCATAATTTTAGATCCCAGGGACCACTAACTTGTTCTGTGGGCGTGGCCTAATTTGTGGGTGTGGATTGGTGGTCATGTGACTGGCTGGGCATGGCTTGTATGTAAATATTATAAACATTTATATAAATATTGAATTTTTTATATAAAAAAGCAACTTTTATCCAAAATCAGTCAAAGCAGGCAGATTGAGTTGCTCACAGAATCATTCAGTGATCTATCTATCTGCCATCGGCTAGCTCAGTCTCTCAAATTTGCTTGCCGTGAGTCTGCACTGAATTTGCAAGCAAACCTTCAGTCCTAAGGGAGGTTCAGCTGTGCTTAGCTAGAAAGCAAGAAATCCAATGATTTCCTGCTTCCTAGTAATCTAAATCTCCCGGCACAGCAGAACAGATGATGGTCGGAAAAAGGAAAAATAGCAACTTAGCAGACAAGTTTACCGGGTAAGGAGTGAGTGGGTGGGGAGGGTTCCCATGGGCCATGTGGGCTCAGCATGTGTTTCTGCACAGCCTGGATTAATTGCTTTTGGGGGGGGGGTGCTCTGGGGGTGAGATTTCTCTGCAGCCCACCAAAATTTTCTCACGGCCCACCAGTTGGCGACCGCTGTACTAGATGATTCAAGCTAGTACTCAAGTTAACATTGTAATGTATTAAGAAATTATGAATTCAGTTGGATTGTGATATGGAGTTAGAATCTGATAGTAATTTAATTTGAATTCTAGTTTTCAGAAAAATAAATGTAATTTTGGATCCCATGATTGAGCCCAAGATAGACACTTCTTAGTGAGCAGTTTCAAAGTGATGTTTTTTATGATTTCATATGTTGCTCTAAGCCATGTATTCTTTTAACTATAGTTTATTTAATAAATCATTGGCTTACATATCAAGCTCAGCTATGTTTATAAAACATAATTGATTTATTCAATAGTATAATCTTACCCTCAACAAAAAAACAATAACCCAAAAATTGTAGCATGAAAAAACAATAGTCAAAAGTGATGTTTTGGATGTGTAAAAAGCAGTTTAGGAAAATGGAATTTTATAGAGAAGTAGTTGAGAGAGTGAGATCAAAAAAGCTGTCATGTAAAAAAAAAATGGCTAGGTGGACACAAAAATGCCCTTTGTTAAAAATGTTTTAACAAAATTGGCCAAAGGTAAGTGAGGAGCTCAGACAGAAGATAGAAGGAAGATAGAAAAAGGACAAGAAGTGCTGGGTAGATCTAAGATAATTAAGTCAGATAACAGAAACTGATAGCAAAATGAACATGAAAGGAAATGCACATGCCACTAGACTTATATCCCGAGACAAGAGCGAAGTAAAAGAAAGCTGAGGAATAGCAGGAAACAAGTTGGCAGCTCTTCATATTCTCCATTGTGGTGGAGATAGCATTCAGGATTGGGTGATCAGTCTCTGCCTGTGATTGGACTGAGTCTGTCAAAACTTTGATGACACTCCCCAGAAATTGACTCAGTCAGCTTATTGGACGAGGTGTTAATTTCTTCTCCTAGCAAATTTAACAAATCCTTTCAAATTGATTGGAAAACTAGGAATAAAATCACCAATCCTGAATTCTATCACAAGCTGGAACCGGTCTACCGCTTTGACAGCTGTCAAATTGCAGCATGGCCGTGGCTCTGCCCTGGACGTCGGTTTGGCTGAGGACCGATCTACAAGGTACTAAGGTTCTGGTTGTGGGAGGAGTTGAGCATTGTCCTCACCTCCTTCCTGCACTTTGGCTTGAGAGGCTCCCAGCGGTTTCGGCCGTTGGAGACGCTGAGATTAACCGTGGTAGCCCTTAAAGGGCCAGAAGACTGCAGCGAAGAGTACAGGTAGTGAGAGTAGGTTAGGAAAGAGTGTCCCTGGCTATACTTTTTGAGCTCCTGGGGAAAATGATATCATGCATTAATATAGCGCCCTGGGTTAGATTTCATGCCAGGTCACTCCAATGGTTTCTTCTACCTTATCAGAAGACAGGTAGGAGTTGTTCCCTCTTACAGGTCAGATTAACTCTGTTGGTCCTTAAGTCTTTACGATGGTGGTCATCTGAGGCGCTTTCCATTGGACTCCTATTCAAAGAATCAGACAGGTTAGTGCTGACCACAGATGCCAGTCTTCATGGCTGGGGTGCCCACATTCAATCCAGGGTGCTCCAGGGACAATGGTCCCAGGCAGATTTGGACCATAATATTAATTGGCTAGATTAGAGCTTCGAGCGGTCCATCTGGCTCTGAGACAATTAGAGACACTCTTCTCATTCACGTACTTTCCTCAGATATTTTTGTTTACTAGTTTTGCTCTGGCATTGTCCTTTATAATAACATGACTGCTTGGATTTAAAATATTATGAAAATTTTGAATTTGAATAATGGAGTGATTAGTTGATGATGAAAGTTGATGATGAAAACAATTGCAAATCAGTTACTTGCCTAACAACAGCTCATGCATAGGAAAGACAAAGTTGGTACCATGACTTGGATTCCAATGATGTGTTTAATCTGCGTGCAGGGTACATGATAATAAAGGGTTGCTGGGAAAAGGGATGTTGCTGGATCTCATTATTAGTTGTCAAGCATATTGATATAAAAACAGGTAAGTTTTGATTAGTGGGGGGTAATCCCATCAAATAGTTACATTATTCAAATTTACATTATTCAAAGCAATAGACAGTAGACAGTAATTGGTTCCGATTCAATGGTAATAGGCAAAGGAAAATTGTAAACATAAATATTTATATATGTGTTTTTATGTGTGTATGTATGTAATGAAATACATTCAGAACCTAGATGTACTAAACTAGTAGATTATATAAGATTAGGTTTAGAAATTAGGTTAGGTTTACTACTATTTATTTGTTGGCAACAGCTAATTGGACAAGGGCCCTTAAAGATATGCAGATTTTTACAGTATTTAAGTCTTTTTCCAGGAAAGTTTTACCTACACACCAAACTCTTGATTTAGCAATTTATTTACCATTTATTTTATTTATTTAGCAAATTTATCTTCCTATTCATTTTCAACCTTTCATTCCTGTTTTCTTTTTTAACTTTTGTTGTCTTATTGCTCTCCTAGTTTTCTTGCTTCTATAGTGAAAAAGCAAATTTGTACTAATCAGAGACTCGTTTTAGTGTAATAATTTATTGGACTTTGATTTGATTCAAAGTCCTGTAATTAAACTTGGCGATCACTGCTTGAATTCAAGTGAACTTCACTCTCTAGTCCAATCAAACTCACAGGTTCGTTATAAGTATTAAAAGGAAGGGCTAATTTTCAGTGAATGCGGATTAGATAAAAGTCTGTTAAAGTTGCTTACAGAAATCTTCTGGAGAGTATTTTATGTTCCTTTCATACGTGAGCATCATGCAGAGACTCCCAACAGAGACTTGGATACTCCTAATATTAACCTAACAGGTATGGAAAATAAGGGATATAGTAAGTTATGCTTCAGAAAAGATTCCTTCCCTGTAATGGCTGTTATTATATATATTATATAACAGTTTTAGTTGGTATTGGCTCTCATTCATGTTAGGTTCTTTCCAAAAATCTAGGATGTGCTCATCCAAGTAGTGTGGCCTTTTGTAATTGACAAATGTAAATTTTGTTAAGGCAGATTTCTAAGTGTCATCCAAAACCTTTTGTTATAGCTACCAAATGTGCTGTAATATCATACACAGTAAGAAAATAGTTAAATAAATACCTGCTACCCAAACAACACAAAAACCTTAAAATCAATCCCAACAGGAACAATAAGAAAACAACCCCCTCCCATAATTGTGGTGAATGATAGCTTTCCCAAAGCCCTCTAGAATATCAGCCTTTTTCAGCTTCTGGAAAGTCTTTATTGAGGTGGAGAGTGGGGGAGGGCTGCCTAACTTATACAAGGAGTCCACTCCAAAATGTAAGTGCCCCAGTTGAAAAACTACTTTCTATTCTCATCTTCCTTCATCTCATAAAAATGGGATATTATCAGCATATTCTTCTGAGAATATTTCTCCTTGGGCACTGCATTTCTTGGCTGCCTATATAAGGTTTTATAAATAAGAATTTGCACTTCAAATTGCACCTGGAAATCTAATGGTAACCAATTCAGGTCCTCAAGATTTTGTTGTAATCATCTATTTACAGCCATAGTGGAGCCTACTTATTATAGTTATCAGTTGTGACAGTCATTAAGTGAAGTGTTGATGTGATCATATTGCTGAATGACTAAAATCGTGATGGAATCTCCAGTTAGAGTGTGTGTAGGGGGGAGGGAGGTGTGAAGAGGTTAGCTAGTTTAGTGTCCTTTCACAGCAGGAAATGATGCAGAACTGACTTTCCCCAGAATCCCTGAAACTCTTGTCTGGCTATTGCCAAGAGTCAGTCTGGCGAGATTCTTGCAGATAGGCTTGCAATAATAAAGAATCAACTCTGTTTAGGTTGTTGTTCTAGCTCCTTGAGCCTGGCAGAAATCCCTGCTGTCCCTGTTGTGGTCATTAAGGGGACCACCAGGTGCCTCGGAGTGGAGGAGGCCCTGAGAG